TTTGGAGCGCAGCAGGGGGAAGGACCACCTCTGCAGAGATTGTAGCAGACATGGCCTCCCAGTCCCCAGGCTCTGAGTCCTGGGCCCGTCCTGGAGTCAGGAGCAGGGAAGGGGGAGAGGTTCTGGGGGACACAGCAGGCAAAGGCAAAGAACAGGGGTCCTGGTCAAGGAGTATGGACTGCTGTTGAGTCTCTCATTCATTTATATATCCCACGGTGCTGTGAGCACTTTGATGAGCGTCCAGCTCTGCGCTTGGCACTCTGCCCTCAGAGGCAATAAAGGTGAGGTTGAGTGCTGGCTGGTGCAGCTCAGTGGGCTGCGTGCCGGCCTCCAAATGGAGGGGTTGCCAGTTCGATTCCCAGTCACAGCGCATGCCTGGGTTGTGGGCCAGGTCCCCGGTTGAGGGTATGTGAGAGGCAACTGATCAGTGTTTCTCTCCCTCTTTTTCCCTGCTTACTTTCTTGAAAAAGGAAAGAAAGAAAAGAAATCTGAGGCTGTGCTATCAAGATGCTCGGGGCCTGGTGGGGAGAATCGACCCAGACCTCCTTCTCTCGGAGGCTAGGAAGTCACCAGCAGGGGAAGGAGAGGAGGGGCGCTCCCGTCCATATACACACGGAGCCTCAGACAGCCCCGCCCTGCTGTCTGGGCCGCCTGGCCCCGGGACAGCCTTGTGCTAAGGCCGTGGAGCAGGACGTTCCCCTGGCGGAAGGGGGTGTGGGCACTGGGCCCTGTGCCAGACAGTTGCCCCGGCTCCCGCCGCCAGGCACGGAGGGGCTGCAGAGGGAGGTTGCAGGGCGGCCGGCACGAATGTGGGGAGGACCAGCCAGGCCCTCCGTGCCCTGCCCTGCAGCCCTGGCCACCTCGGGGCCTCCAGCTGCCAGCAGGCTCTCTGCTCCACCCTGCCCACCTGGCACCTCTCCTGTGCTTCGGCTGCAGAGTCTTGTTTAATGAGGCTTTTCCCCAGTTCCCAGGGAAGGCTGGTAGACAGGGTGAACCCTTTGTCCACCAGGCAGCACCTCGCACCCTACCCCACTGGCCATCACCCACATACCTACCAGGCCAAAGGCTGGCCGAGCTGAATTCTGCGGTTTCCGAGGCCTGGCCTAAGCTGTGCTGTAACCTGGGGCTTGACCAGCCTGGCCAAGGAGGGTCGGCTCTAGCCCTCCCTCAGAGCTTCCTGGCCAAAGCTAGCCCTCCTCAGGGAGGCAGTTTGCTGAGCAACCCACTGTGGAGCCAGTACCCACCCCTCCAATCCTGCTCCAGGCAGAGTGGGGCTATGGGACTATCTTCCTACAGCAGGCACCTGGGACCCCAGGCTCTGCTGCTGAGAATTCGCAGGGCCAGAGGTGCCCACCCAGCAGCCAGGCTTACGGCCCTGATGGCCAAAGCGCCAGGGCCGAGACTGGGCACCAGGGTCTTCTCTGAAGCAAGAGCTTAGACTCAGAAGCCCCCTGTGATCTGGACAGACCTGTGGAGGGATTTCATTCCACCCGGTGGGCCAGGGCTCCCGGCGTGTGGACCCTCAGGCTCTGTCACCCTGGCTGCCATGAAGCCAGCTCAGGGCTGATGCCGTCTGGCGACTGCTGACCAGGAACCTATCAGTAAAACGTCCCCAGAGGCTTCCAGAAAGCTCCCCACCTTCATGGGCTCCATGGGGAGCAGTTCCTGCTCCCCAAAATTCCAGGAGATAAAGCAGGACTTCTGTACCTGTGGCCAGTGAGGTAGGCAGGGCTGATATACTCATCGCCATTTTATAAGGGGTAGACTGGCCCAGGATCCCATAGTGAAAAGGTCAATGCAAAGGTCAGCGAGCCTAGAGCTGGGCTTCCCAACTCACCTCATGTCGTGGCCCACTTAGAATGTGTCACTGGAGTGGCTGGAGAAGGCGGCTAGAGGCTGCCGCACGAATGGGAAGTCCTGGGCATGGTGAGCCGGAGGAGTGGGGTTCAAGCGGGAGTGGGGCCTGGTCTTGCGGAGCTCTGGAGCTCGAGGCAGGGGAGTGACGTGACCTGACCTGTGTGGCTGGCGGTGGGGCAGGAGGGGCTGCAGCCATCCAGGTGAACGTGGCCGTGGCTTGGACTGGGTGGGAGACCAGGAGGAAGGAGGAAGTGGTTGGATTCTAGATAGATTCTGAAAGTAGAGCCACATGGATTTGCTGACAAATTGGACATGGGGTGTGAGAGAAAAAGAAGAGTCAAGGATGACTCCGAGGTGTTTGGTCTGAGCAACCGGGAGACTGGAGCTGCCGTAGTTGAGGATGGAAAGGAGCGTTTGAGGCGGGAAGTCAAAGGCTGGGAGTTCCTGGGAGGGGTGGGTGCTGGAGATGTCATCGCGGGGCCATCAGAGGAAGGCCCTTCACGCCAGGCGCCCGGGGCAGAACACCTGGGAGTGAGGGCCAGTTTCCAGTCAGGTCACGGAGAGGGTGAGGAGGCAGAAACGAGGCTGAGAAGGAGCAGCCTGTGAGGATGGAGGGTCCTCTGGCGAGCGTGGTATCCTGGAAGCCTAGAGAAGAGGCCATTTCAAGGAGGGAGAAGTCAGTGGTGTCCAGTGCTGCCGAGAGGTCAGGTGACATGAAGACTGAGAACTGACCGCCAAGTTCAGCAATGTGGACAGCAGAGAGACCTCGACAAGAGTCTGGGGAAGTGACAGGGCAGGTGACTGGCTAGGTGGGAGGGAGGACGAGCACCGAAGGCAGTGAATGCGGACCCGTCAGCTGAGGTTTGCAGGAAAGGGGAGCGAGACGGGAGGTGGTGACTGGGGGAGATGACAGCCAGTTGGCACCCAGGCGGGAATGAGACTGGGCTTGCAAAGTGCTCGGCCCGGTGCCCGGCCTGTGGCGGGTACTCAGAGTATAGGGATTTCCCACGTGTCCACGTACCCCATGGCCGGCCGGCCCACTCCTCTTCCCAGCCTCCCGCAGGCCTGAGGAGCCTCCGTCCCACCTTCCATCCCCGCACCCACCCAAACCATCACACTTGTGTCTGAGTTCATTGCGGAAATAAAAGAAAGACTAAGAGTGGCAGTAGACCCCCAGCTTGCTAAGGAAGCCTGGCCTTGGAACAGCAACAGGAAAGTCATAACACCCGAGGCCTGGGGACAGAGTGGTCCTGTCGTCGCCCTCCCCAGGAGATGCTGCCAGGGGACTGCCAGGCATGCCTGCATCTCCAGCCAACTGCCATTTGGCATCGTGGGGCCCAGGTGCCTGGCCCGTGTGAGGCCCAGCCCCGGGGGCTGGGGAAGCCCTGCGCGCCCCTCGCGCCTGTCAGCCCTGTGGGCGAACAAAGGCTTCTGCGCGCCCTTCCTCATCACCTGACACTGAGTAATTGAGCTTGTGGGTATTGTCTGGCTTTATCCTCACATCTCACAACCCTCCGATTGTCTCCATCTTAGGAGGAAACAGATGATCAGATAGTGTAGTAAGTTCTTGAAGACAGCACATTAGAACTAGGGTCTGAAGGTGGTTGGCCTGCTGTTCGCCAGGCTCCCCGCGGAGAGCCCTTCCTGCGGCTGCTGGAGGGACGCTCACCTGCCCAAGGCGGCCCGGGGCCTCTAGTCAGAGGGAAGGTATCAGGCTCGGGAAGGCCATGGTGCCCTGTCCACACCAGTAGCAGAGGAGGAGCCACCACTGCTGGGACATCAACCCCTGTCTGCCTGAGGACAAAAGGAAGGCTGATTAGCCCTGTTTTGTCAGGTTGTTCCTGGTGGACAGGTGGGATGAGCAGGAGACTGATGGGTGGCAGTGGTGGCACCTTCCCCAAGCCCAGAGGGGAAGGCGGCAGCTTGTGGCCCAGCCTCAAGCTCCCCTGAGGGCCAGAATGTGGGGAAGCCGGTGGCCAGGGCTGGTGCTGCAGGCTGCGGGAGCCTGTGCCCGCCTGGTAGCCTCAGCCTGGACCCCCTAGAGCCAGTGCCAAGAGGCCCGGGCCAGGCCTCCTCACAGTGAGCTTGCCTAACCTTTCCCCAAACCTGGTGATGAGGGACCATGAACCCCAGCCATCACGCAGGACAGGAAACCAAAGCCCAGAGATGTTGAGGAGTCTGGCTACATTCAGCTAGTGGGGGACTGCACCCATAGGGTGGGAAGGAGCCCGGACCACACTTTGTTACTGTCTTGCCCCAGAGATGTCCCGTTTTTTTCTGTGCCATGGGTCAGAAGCCACGCCTCTGTGCTCAGCCAGCGGTGTCCGCACAGCTGGACTTTTCTGAGTGGAGCCGAGCCTCAGCTGTGGAGGTCTCCAGGGCCGTGGCTGGCACAGGTGTGCCCTGGGGCCGGGCAGAGCGGGGCCCTGGCCCTGAGCAGCAATTTCCGTCGCATGGGGAGCCCCCTTCTCAGCCTGACTGAGTCACCTCATGACAGATCCATGTGACTAGTGTGAAAAGTAAGAGTCCTGTGGTGTTGAGGAAACAGGAAGTGTGGGGCTGGGCGGGTTGGCCCTGGAGGGAGCCTGGCTTGGCCTGGCCCCTCCCCCGAGTTAAGAGGGCTGAAGGGGGCTCTTCCCTGTGTCCACCGATTCTGTTAAGCCTGGGGTGGGACAGGGGTCAGACTCAGGACCCCCAGTCTGGGGGCTGGAGGGGGAAGCAAGCTCCTAGGGTAGGTCAGGTTCTCGGACCTTGTCCTGACATGTATGGGGCCAGAGGCCCTGAGCGAGTCGCAAGGCCTCAGAAATGGGGGTACATCCAGACCGGAGGCAGGAAGAACTCCCTGGACGGGGAGGCACGCCCCCTGGAACTGAGTGCACAGGAGGATGGAGGGGTGCTCTGGGAGGAGTGGCTGCTGGGGCCGTGCCTTGGCAGCGGGGGCAGGAGGGCTGGACCACTGGGCACAGCTTGGTTTGAGGGGCGCCCCCTTCTGTGGGGCCTGTGGTTGGGACCGCCCCCATTTTGCTTTGACAGTTGGGCTGCCCACACACACAGCTCATTGGGGCTCTGCCTACGTGTAGCCCCAGCCCCGTGCCTGCCTCCCTCAGGTCTCCCCACATTCACCCATCCTCCTCGTTTTTCAGCACAACAAGACCAGTCAGCCCGCCCATGGAGTCCCCCAACTCTCTCCTCTCTATGAGCATTTCAGCAGCCCACACCCGACACCTGCACCGGCCGACATCAACCAGAAGCAAGGTACAGACCTGAGATGGGGAAGGGCCCCATGAGACAGGTGGCTCGGCCCTTTTTACAACCGGAGAACCTGGGGCTATGCAAAATGAGGAGCCCCCACCCCCAAAATTCCAGAAAGATGGTTCAGGAGCCTGGGGGTACCAGAGGGCTGGGTGAGGTGGTGCCAGGTGAAAATTTGAAGGCTGCAGGTTGAGGTAGGAACCTCCCAGTGCCATTATGAGACCAGGCATCTGTGCAAAGCTGATAACTATAAAACTTGCAGCCTTTCCCTCCCCCAGTGAGAAAATGGAAAGTGGTGGTTGTGATGGCTGATTCACCTCAGCCTCAGGCAAAGTCATTCTGAAATCAGCCACTGTCGACTGTGGGAAACCTGCTGACTCAAAGGGGGGTGAGGGGTGGCTTGGAACTCTGGCTCCACTGGCCAGGTTCCCCCAGACTAGGGGGCCCCCAGCAAAGAGGCCCCAGTTGCAGGCTAGTGGTAGCGAGGCCTGGTGTCCCATTCCAGAATGACTCCAACTCTGCCACTGGCAAGCCAGTGTCCTTGGGCAAATCACCCACCTCCTGTGCCCTTGGTCCCCTAGCCCGTAAGCAAAGCTGCTCCGCTGGGAGAGTCCTGAATAAAGCTGTATGTCTGGTACTCTAGCAAGGGGGGCGGGATCTTAGAGGCCCCGCACAGGAGGCTGTGGGGTGCAAGATGTAGCTAAAGGGGCTTCTGAGTCAGGCCCGCTCACTTGGCCCCCTCTCCACTGCAGTTCACAGGCCTCTGCAGACCTCCGACCTCTCTGGCTTCTATTCTCTGACCTCAGGCAGCATGGGACAGCTCCCACACACTGTGAGCTGGTGAGTGTGGGCCCGGTGGGAATGGGGCGCCTTGCTCTGACTGGACCCGTACCAGCCCTTCTGTTTTCCTCCTCCATCCTGTGCTGAGCACTGTTGCCCCCTCTGTATAGGTACCAGGGCTGGCCAGCAGCTCTGTCCATTCCCCTCGTAGCCTGACACACTCCCTTTAGGAAAGCAGACTAGGCTATGGTCTCAGCCCTGTTGCCCCTGAACTCTGCTTCAGTGTCTGAGACTTGAACGAGAGAACCTTGGGCTGCCCAGGGCCATATGAGTGAGGAGGAAAAGGTAGGTCTGAGCAGGGAGGTAATAGCAAGAATGGCCACGGGAGAGGCTGTTGCTTCCCAGCCACCTGGTGTGCAGGACACTCCCCACTTGCCTAAATGCCTGCAGCTGCCCGGTCCCTTCCTTGGCCGAGCTGCTTGAGAGGCAGGGTCCCTTCCTTGCCCCTGGGGTGCCTACTTGAGCCCAAGCCCCTAGCCAGGAAAAGCCGCCTGTATGAACCCTGTCAGTAGGTCCAACTCTGGGCCAGAGGGCCTGTCTTCGGCTGGAGTTGTGTCTCACAGCCTAACTGGTCCTTTGCTCAGCAACCGCAGTGTAACGTGAGCAGGTCTTGAGCCTCTCTGGCCTGGGGCAGTCACTTAACAGCAGGAAAGCTTGGCTTCCCAGGAAGGCAGCGTAGGCCAGAGGCCCGACCTAGGCGCCCGCCGCATGCCCTTTATCCATGTTTAGCTCATCTCTCTCTTTCTGGATTCTCCCTGGACAGAGTTCCACTCTGAAAACAAACCAGGGCTATGCCCACAAGTACCCCCAGGTCTGAGGTGTGCCAGGCAAGGATCTGGGTGCCAGAGCAGCACTGCCGAAGCTAGCTGATCCCAGAACTCAGTCCACCTGGTGCACAGCCCAGGCAAGAGACCAGCCAGTGGCAAGGCACTGTTAGCAGTGCTCTGACTGGGGACTGTGGGAACCCAAAGGGACACCTCATCCAGCTTGGGATCTCAAGGGCTTTGGGGAGAAGGGGTCATTTAGGATGACAGGAGCCGAAGCAGGCAAAGTGGGGCAGGAGGAGCACAGTCCTGGCGGTGTCAATAGTGGGTGCAGAGGTCCTAGGGCAGGTGTCGACTCGGTACTGACAGGGACATTTCATGTCAGGAGGCAAGGCAGGAGGGGATCTGGGGGCCTGTTGAGCTAGCTCCCAGGGGAGAGTGGCCTTTTCTACCCTTGAAGCAACAGTGCAAGCCTGTAGAGGGAAATAAGTGCAGCACAAATTGCCCTCTGGTGGCAGATGCTTAAAACACACCCTGGAGTGGTCCAAGCAGAAGCCAGTGTACCTCACACTCTAGGGTCAGGCTGGAGCACAGAGGGAAGTCCTTCCCCACATAGGGCCAGTAGCAAGACTGCTAACAGCTGTCTCTCCCAACCACAGGCCCAGCCCTCCTCTCTACCCCTTGTCCCCCTCCTGCGGATATAGACAGCACTTCCCTGCCCCCACTGCTGCCCCTGGCGCCCCCTACCCCAGGTGAGTCCCCTGCCCTGCAGCCAGGCTCCTGCTTCCTGTTGCCCAGGCTTCAGTGCCCACACAAGGCCATGCCCAGGCCACTGCTTGCCCTGTGCTAGTCGTTTGTCCATCCGTCTGTCTGTCATTCTGCAGCCCCTTGCTGCCCTGTGCCTGAGAATGAAACCAGTGGGACTGCAGGAGGCCTGAGCCCAGGCCCAGCTGTGCAACAGAGCACCACAGAGCAGCCAGGGACAGTGCACGTGCGCGGGTGCTCGTGCTCCTGCCTTTGCACACGTGAGTCAGTCCGTGTGCAGGTGTGTGTGCACTCACCCCTGCTCTGCATCCCTGCTGAGGGCAGGGCCGGCCAGGACTCTCCTGGGCGTTCCCAGCGCTCTGCCTAGGCTGAGGCAGCGTTTTTACATGCGTCTCCAACCTCTCGCCTGCTTAGGGACCCCACAGCTGTGTAAGCAAGGGGCAGAGGGGTATCCATAGAACAGAAAATGAAGCGGGAGGTGCGTCTGTGTGTGTCCCTTTACTGAGCTCACTCCCTCAGTGAAAGATACATGCTAAGTATGGAACAAGGAATTCAGCAGACATTTCCAGCCCCACCGAGTTCACGGGGTAGGAGCGCCAGCAGTTGAATGAGCTGTGCTATGTGGGTGATGGGGAAGCCCCAAGGAGACCCCAGCCAGATCTGCTGGGTCACAGAGCTTCGTGAAAAGGGTTAGTATCTCCTGGGTGAGTGGGACAAAGGGAACAGCAGTAGTTGGGGATGACTGGGGGTGGGAAGTGACAGGAACTGGGAAAAGATGGGGCTAGAATGTCAGCAAAGTGGTCACGCAGGGCTCTGTGCAGTGGGAGAATTTCAGCAAGAGCAGCCAGGAGCACTCGGGTGTTTTTCAGAGGTTGGGTGGAGAGAGTCCTAGAGGAGTCAGGAGAGTGAGGAAGCCCACAGGGCAGTCACAGGCTCATGCGGCTGAGCTGGCGAGGGCAGGAGGTGACAAGGGGAGAGATTCAAAAACTATTTAGGCCTTGATTTACAATCACCTAAATGATGTCTAAGATTTTTGCAGCCTTGTCTGTGTTATGTGTTGGGAGCAGGTATTTGTATGTATCAGTGTGTTTGTATGCAGGCTAGTGGGTGGGGTATCTGTTCACCTGTCCTCGTCTACTGTGCTGGGCCTCTGTGTGTCCCAAGGTCTGGCCTGTACACACCTGGCTCAGTGTTAACTTTCTTTCTGCTTCTAGGTTCACCCACCCATCCCTGATGTTAGGTTCTGGCGTACCTGGTCACCCAGCAGCCATTCCCCACCCAGCCATTGTGCCCACCTCAGGGAAGCAGGAACTGCAGCCCTACGATCGCAGCCTGTGAGTGAAAAGGCACATAGTGGGGAGGAGGGAGGGAAACGGGTGAGCAGACCCCAGGCTCCCATCCGTTGTCAGCCAGGATACACATTTCTTCCACCAGGCTGAAGGCCTGCTGCCTGGAAGCTCCAAGGACTACCAGAGAAGGCCTCTGGTCAAACTGTCTTGTGGCTTTTGCCACTGACCACTGTTGTTTTGAGCCTCAGAAGCAATGAGGGAGTGGGTGGAGTAGGAAACAAAGATTTAGGTTAAGCCAAGATAGGAGGGGCTTAGAAGTTCTTATACATGCTTTCCTTACTTAGCTGCCATATGCCTGTAAGGAACAGTTACTTAACTCTGCTCATCAATTTTGGAGCAGCTTAAAAAAAATAGCATTTATAAAAGCCAAAGTATCCATGCACTTACACGTAGAGGACACAGTAGAGGAGGGTGGTATCATTAGGTGGGCATTGTGGGAGCTCCCAAATGATCTGGACATGTGCCCTTCAGGAAGACACAGGCAGAATCCAAGGCAGAGAAGGAAACCAAGAAGCCAACCATCAAGAAGCCACTCAACGCCTTTATGCTGTACATGAAGGAGATGAGAGCCAAGGTCATCGCAGAGTGCACACTCAAGGAGAGTGCTGCCATCAACCAGATCCTGGGCCGCAGGGTGAGGCCACGGGCAGATGGGCTGGCAGGGGCGGCCCCTGACCACCTTCGCCCTGGTACAGCCTGCTGACTCCCTGCTGCACCCCTCTGCCCCTCCTTCCCCTTTGCAGTGGCACGCACTGTCACGAGAAGAGCAGGCCAAGTATTACGAGTTGGCCCGCAAGGAGAGGCAGTTACACATGCAACTATACCCAGGCTGGTCAGCGCGAGACAACTATGTGAGTGGCCAGCAACACACAGTAGGGATGGGTAGGGGGAACCTTCAAGATTCCATGCCCCAGGGCGCAGTCTCAGCAAGAAAAACAGGGCTACCGTTCCAAAGGCTCAGAGGAGGGGAGGTGGTGGACTGGAGGTTCAAGGCCTCCCACAGCTAGCTCAGAAGAGGATCGAGCAAGGGGAGCTGCCCATAAAGGCAGGCCTGTGTCCTTTTTTCCACCCAGGATCTACTCCCACTCCCTGCATGGCTACTGCCCTATATTTGATTTGGGCTCATGAGCAGAAGGGAGGAAGGGACCTGGAAATTACCTCTTCTATTCAAAATAGAGACCAGTGTGGGAAAGGGAGGAGGAGCCCCTAATTGCCTCATGGTTTACCTAGCAAGAACTGCAATCAAATGCTAGGGCCCCCAGGCAGAAAGAGACTGTGCCTGGAACCCCAGCCACAGCCAGGCTAGGCAGCGGCAGGCTGCAGGTATCCCAGCCACTCTCTCACTGGGGTTGGTGTCCACCTCCTCGACCTGAGGATTCTCTCCCTTTGTTTCCTGCAGGGGAAGAAGAAGAGACGGTCCAGGGAAAAGCATCAAGAATCCAACACAGGTGAGGCCTTCCCTCAGCAGTAGCCAGGCTCCTCTCCAGGTCCCCATTTGACAAGCATCACTGGTCCGGCCCAGAGGGCGGGGCAGAGTATTCAGCCATGAACCTTCAGTGCCTGGGCACTGGGCTCTCTGGAAACAAGGCCTGCACCTCACAAGTCAGATCCCTACTTGAGGAACAGCTATGCTAAGTTCTAGGGAGGACCGGCAGAAGCCATTTCACATAGCAGTGGTGTGTGGGCCCATCACCTTTGCCACCTCTGCCGTGCTCACAGCTAGCCTGTCAGGGAGAGCTAGTGAGGCACTGGCTGTATGATCCATGCTAAACTCAAGCACTGCATCCTGGCTGGTTCTGAGGTGGACAGCACGCTGTGTGGATGCCGACTTGAGCCAGACACCATGCCTAGGCCCAGAGTCACACAGCCTGATGGCTAGTGCCTGGTAATTTCTCTACCCCCACCCACTGGTTTTCATGGCAGTGCTATACGGAGGACCCAGGGAGCCCACACTGCTGCAAGTGCCCTTCATGTGGGTGGACTGCTGTCCCAACTCAGATCCACGTTCATGACTTTCTCAGCTGTGCTGCCCCCCATGCTCTGACTGGGGCAGGGCAGGCCTCGGCCCTTTTTCTGAGATTGAAGAATGGGTTTTGCTTTTCATCTGGGGAAATGGGTACAGCACGGGGCAGGGGAGAGGGGGTATGGGTTAAGCAGATATGGCGTTGGCAAAAATGAGGGTGGGGGGGAGGACAAAACGGCAGGGAATTTAGGGGTGGAAACGGCCCTAAAGCAGAAGAGGCTAGACCTGGATTCCTAAGAGCCTCCCTGGGTTCTTCTTCCAAAGTTCTTACGCTTCAAGGGGCCCCACAAGCCAGAGAGGAGCCAGCCTGACAGGGTCCTCTCTCTTCCCCACCATCCTTCCCACTGCCTCTTCTGCCCAACTGGGTGCCACGCACACCTTTCCTAATACTTTGGCTCTGGACCCTAGGGCTCCCGCTGGGGCTGGCTACGCCATGGAGAGGCCCTCTGCCTGTGGGGGCTGTGGGGTACCTGTGACTGGCTAACACTGATGTTGCCTCTTCTTTCTGGGCCCTGCTCTGCCCTGCTGCCTGCCTGCTCGCCCTCTGCCCTGCTCTGCCCCTCTGGCATGGCTGTGAGCAGACCCTGGCTCGCCTAAGAAATGCCGTGCTCGCTTTGGCCTCAACCAGCAGACGGATTGGTGTGGTCCGTGCAGGTGGGTTTGTCCCCACCACCATCTGCCCTTTGCTTCAAGCTGCTTCCCTGACTCTGCACATGTTCTGCTGGGCCTGCCTTTGCCCAACCCCCTAAGATACCTGCAGATTGTGAGCCCACACCTCCTAAGAATGGGAGTGAACACTGAACATAGATTGTAGGGACAATCACTTGGGTCTTTGTGGAAGGAGGGGAAAGAGACAATGTTCTAGAAGGGAAGGAAAGGTAGACTCAAGAAGGTAGTTCTCTGGTGCCTACAGTCCTCGGGTAATGATGGTTTGGTGCTAACCAGGCCTAGCTGGTCCTCAGTAGTCCTTAAAGAAAAACGTGGCTATAGTAGAGACCACCACAAATAGTCTGGATGCCATTTGTCCAAATAACTCGTCATCTGGTACCTACAGAGACCAGAGGGCTGGCGAGGAGCGCAGGCCCTGCAGCACTAACTGGGTGTTTCACCATACCACAGAAAAATGCTCATGTCTGTGAAAAGTATACCTACCAAGTGGCTAAAAGGTGCCTGTTTGGGTTCACATCAAGCCTGGTAGGGCCGAGGCTGAGGCTACTCCAAGACACTGACTCTAAGTTAGTTCACTGACTGTAAGGAATACTGTCCAGCCCCGCCCTCCATGCTCCTTGTCCAAGGGCAGAAAGGAATGTGGGGAATATGTGTGTCTGTGTATGCATGATGGGAGGCAACCCTATCCTTAGAGGAGGTCCTAATTCTACCCATTCTACACTACTCAAGAGAGACTGTCCAGAGAGCTCAAGATGGTAAGGATGGATAAGAATCACTGCCTTGGTTCTCCTTCCCCTTCTCTGCCTCTAACCTAGCTTTGAGCACTGGGATTGCTCAGCCCAGTAAGTGATGAGCAGTGCAGCCCCTTGCCTTAATGCAGATCTGAGCCCCACAAAAAACACAAGCAGCAGAGGCTCCATGGCCCAGACTAGGAGATGGCTCCTCTAGCAAACAATGCAGCCCGCAGGCCCCAGCTACAAAAGGTCCCTGTGCCACTGTGTGGCTGTACTGGGAACTGCACCTGTCCCAGGTCTGGCCAGGCGCAGCCGAGTAGCATTGCCGACTGAGGTCTGAAGGCGTAAACACATCACCCAAGTCCTGGGAAGAGGGGACAAGAGGTCAACTAGGCCTGTGCAAGGACAGCGTATTTTGGTTGTGGTGTATGACTATGAATTCACCCTCTGTTTACAGATAACTCTCTTCACTATTCCTAGGAGGAAAAAGAAATGCATTCGGTACTTACCCGGAGAAGGCCGCTGCCCCAGCCCCGTTCCTTCCGATGACAGTACTCTAGGCTGCTCCGGGTCCCCAGCCCCCCAGGATTCACCCTCATACCTCCTGCTGCCCCACTTCCCCACAGCACTACTTGCTAGCCCTGCGGAGCCGGCGCCTACATCACCAGCTCTCTCAGCGGCTCTCAGCCTCCCAGCCCCGTGGGCCCCCGCAGGCCCCCAGCAGTGCCCTGCAGAGTACACAGGTACAGCAACAGGAATTTCGGAGACAGGCAGCCTAGCATGCACAGGACACCTGGCCTCCAGGGACCCACTCTTTGAGAAGCAGAGACAGAGCCCCAAAGCATGTGGAAACCAGCCAGGGGCCCTGTTAACTCCTGAAGGTCCAGGTGGTGGTGATTTCAGAGGCTGCACAACTTCTGCCTGAACCTGGGGCCATCAATTCAGACTGCTCCAAGTGGTGCATCACATCTGTGTTAGCAGCTGATTAAGGGCACCTCCTGTGCCTTGTGGCAGCCTGCATCTATTCTTACTACCGTCCATCTTGCTAGCCGGATGCCCCCACCTCCCTTTTCTGCTACAGGTCATAGATGGGCTGGATTGAGCTCAGCTGCCTTCCCTACCCTGTATCCCCAGCACTCCTCCCCCTCCGCCACTGCTGCACCCTCCCCATACCAGGCACTGCATGGACCAAGAGCTGGTTTATCAAACATGTGGACCTGGCACAGCCACAAAGCTCAAGATGACCGTGCTTTTCTCAAGGGCCTAGAAAAGCCATGTTTTACAGAAAATTTGTATGCTGGACCAGAGAAACCCTGCCACATTCTCAGGAGCTTGTGAGTAGAGGGGATGGAATAGGCCTAACAGGAGCTAGAGTGACAGGCCTAAATAAGTTTAGGCCTGTCACTCTAGGCAACAGAAAAACCTGACACTACCTTAATCAGGCAAGTGTGAGTGGTGGGGACTATCTGGCTCTCTAGTTCAAATTACTTGGAAATGATTCCTGAGAAACGGAATCACCTAAGAAGCCCTGATAGCAAAGCCCCAAACCTGTTACTTGTGGCTGTAGTCAGCAGTTCAAAGTCATGGCCCAAAATCTGGTTTACATCCCTCCCCATTCTGAGAGCCTTTTTCACAGATCCATTTCCAGCTTATCCACCTCAGTCTAGCCAGCTCTTGGGCAGTGGTGAGAGGGCAAACCAAACCAGGCCAGCTTCAGTTTCCCTATGGGGCCTTGGGAAGGAGGACCATTACAGCCAAAACAAGGAGCCCAGAAAACCTCTAGTGGTGGACTGGGCTTTCACCACAGTCTGATTAATCCAATTCTGAGCCAAGCTTCAACCCTGAGCCTTTGGGGGGTATGAGGGGGCCTTTTTAATTTAACTTTTTTGTTGTTTTTAGGGGGTGGGGTTTTTTTTTTTTTTTTGGCCTCTTCACTGTACATAGCCTTAATCCAAAGAAAGAGGGCTGTCCCTGTACCCACGCATACCCCTCAACAAAAGCCTTTACTTCCTACTTTAGCCACTGGCTTCTGATTCCAAAGATCATATATTCTAGCATAGTGTTGCAGGAAGTCTTAAGGAAAAAAAGGGCCATTGTAGTATTAAAAGTATTTTTGTATTGTTAAAGCATCATCAAGAAAAACTTTTTAAACATGAGAATAAAGATACTTTTTACTGTGTGTGTCCCGTCCCCCACCCCTGCCAACCCCAAAGCTTGACCCTGAGAAAGAAAGGCTCTTTCAGGAACAGCATGATTATCCATTTCTTCACAGCCATGAAATTTGAGGTAAACTCTATTATGGTACACATGTTCGACTTTCAACCTGCGGAAGCTAGGGATTACTCTCATCTCCCTTTACGGGCTTGGGCCCTGCTGGGCTCGTGCTGGGCATAAGCTCCCATTCCAAGCCTTGCTTTTAACCCACCAATCCTAACAATTGATGGAGGCACAGACCAGCCAACCCATCCCTTCCCCTCCATTAGAATAGGTTGGAAACTGCTATTCACAGACCCTAAGATAATCCAGCTAGAAATAGGTGCACATGACCACTAGGCTCCATTTTCTCTGAGGGTCAAAAGAGGAATCACCCCATAAGTATATATTGGAGTACAAGGAAAATAAGCAAGTGTTTTCACATACTGCTATAAAATCCCAAAAGTTATTTAATAGAAACCTTTCCTCCCAGAGACTATTAAGGTGCTTGAAGTATCTTCATATTTTTATAGAAAACTTCTGAATTTGATAAATCTCCAAACTACTTAACAGTTTTTTACACCGCAGTTTCTATCACAGTGAAGTTCACTGTTACCTTTGAGACTCATCATGAATGTAGAAGGTGTCATAAAGCCACCTCAATAGTTTGATTAACCATTAGATAAGATACACTCAAGAACTGTATACAACAAGCAGCCACTGGGCCACCATCATTGTTAATTTTCACTGAATTATGTTTTGATTTTGTGTTTTAAAATATTTATAAATAAAGTCATCTTCCAGAGTAGTATCTATTTAAAGTAGGCCATTGGAAGTTGTAATACTAGACTTGCTTTTTTGTGGAAGGGTACTAGAGACCAGCCATTCTCTTGACGTCTGTCCCACTTAAAGAATTCCGCTCTGGCTACTGGCCTAGATGTTTCAAAAAACTACATTCTAACCAAGGCTTATGCAAGACTGGGTTGCTGCATCTGATTAGGTGTCTTATTTAGAGTACACTGGGTACATGAACAATGCACTCTTTGTATGAGGGTGGGGGGAGTGCTTTGGCAACATCATTAAAACCTAGCCTTTGGGGGGAAAAAAGGACATCAAAGAAGAAACTCAAACCTTTCTGGGTCACACCAGCACATTCCTATGAGGTCTCAAGGTGGCTTGAGAGTGCAGCCCCTACAATTCAACTTTGAAAACCGTACCAGTCCCACCTCATTGCCAGCCCAGAAACCAGCCCTATTTTCTGAGACGTGACAAGATACCCCAGCATCCCGTACACATTCCCATACAACTGGCAGATTTGCCTGAAATAACAGATCTTGAGCCCTCTCCTATTGCAGCTGCTCCCACTGTGTTTAAGGATATTGTAATGGCTTAGCCTGACAAACTAGCAGGGACTTACCAAGTATTCCAATTTGAAGGTATTCTGTATGCATTTCTAGAGAAACATCACAGAAGGAAGCTGCCAGGCCTATACATCAAAGTACATTTGAGACTAAAGAGTAATTCTTAACATAAAAACACTGAATTGGCTTTTGAGGTTGCTTGAGCATGACTGTTTTTCTCAGGTCTCTTAAGAACTTGAATAGTTCACCACAGGACCTTGAAACTGCACTGGCCAGCCACAAAAGTGGACGCTGGTTCTTAAGTTGGGTCTACCCACTCCATCCCAGCTATTCCAATCATTTTGAGATCTCAAATCATCATGGGACTCAATTCAGGCTTCTGAACTCTTCACTAGTCCAGAGCAGCTAATAGACTTTCACTGGTCTTGTCCACAATGGGCATGGCAGCCCGAGAGAAAGCCCTTATTTCATGTACTTAAACTGCAGTGTGTTTCAAAACAACAGATGGGAATGTTCCTATAGTCAGTTCCATAGAATAAAAATGCAGCTCAGGTCAGGAGAGATTTTGAAGTTTTTAAGCATGGGACTCAAGAGTTAACTGGAAAGGGCAAATTCTGTCCTAGAAGCAGGAATTATCCTAACCCTAGCTGTACTCATGAGTTAGGTCACTAGCAATACAAAGTAAGGGATATTTCAGCAGCCATGAATTGTATAGGAGATAGTTAAATTAGTAGTTCAGGTTGACGCTTATTTAAAAGTTCACCAGAGGTACACCATGCACCAGGGGTTACTTTTTCAAATGTTCTCTTGCTCCTTTATCGGAAGTCTTGTTTCCTTCAGACATGTGCGGTCAACGTCGAGGGAGGGAGAAAGAAATATGGAGGAGGAGGAGGAATTATGTTTCACTCACTGCTCCCCATACCCATACTCCAAAAGCCACTCTGGAAACTCCTCTGGAATATACACGGCCCAGCAGAAGGCCTGCTTGAGTGAGGCTGGAAGGGTAATAATATGGGTATAGTAATTTATAGTTTTAATTTGAACATTTCTCCTAAGATGTCATACGATGTGCTTGAGTGTGATATTGTTATGTTACAGAATTACATACTTATGATTTTGTAATAAAAGATTTTGTAATTTAAAAAAAGGGACGTTATTTGTGCCAGACCCTGCAGATTTCTGAGATTGTAGCTCTGTATTCTCACCCCTCCCCTAAGACTGCTGAGACAGGAATCTCTGCAAACCATCTGAAGCAAAAGACGACAGGCTGAGGTTGTGAAATGGCACACTCAACACAGAAAGGACAGATGAATCTGCACCATTTAGGTGGGAGGCATTGAGACTGAGAGTCCTTTTATGGAATAGGTTAATCCTTAAAGTGAAAGAAGAGGCTGGCATATAGCAGGTTAGGTGCTCAGTAAATACTTCCTGGAAATAATCAAGTTCACTGGTATCACGAGGTCATTAGAACTAGAGAAGTGGAAGCAGATATTGTGAGCAACAATTCCTCCCACAAGGTGCTTCTCAGTATTGGCAAACAGACCAGTTGTATCCAACAGTGCAAAATTCTGCAAGATAGCAGTAAAACATGAGTTAATCACCCAAATGAAGTCCCACATTGGAAATCTGTCAAATGCACCCTTCAACACCTTTATGCCACCAACAATGCTCACAACTACTGACAACCAAACACAAAGGACCAAGTGTCCAATCCTGCTATGTGTCCAAATGGCTCAAATTTGGGTCAAGGGACATGTTCTAAACTACTACTTACATCATCTTATGTCTTGATATGCACATCGAATTCTTACTCATTCTGTTTTTTGTTTTTTAAGGTAGTGGTTTTTAACAACAGTGAACAAGGAATTTAGTTGTAAAACCCCCAATATTCAAAATACTTTAGTAATTAAAAAAAGTTTTAGCTCTAACACTCAAAAATAGCAATGCCTAACATGAATCTGATACTTTTCCTCAAGTGTCATAGAAATTGTCACCCATCTGGCCTTACTATCACCTTCCAGCTTATATTTGCCAGCAGACCTACCAACACTCAACCTGCTGCTGCCAGTTCCAGACTGAACGCTGCCTTCCCCCTCACCCTGGCATATCTCCATCCCCAACCAAATCCAGCTTCACTTTTGAAACTAATTTTTCCTCATGGACTCTTTTCTAGGCTCTTCTAGCCCTGTAACCCCCAATTTGCTGATTAATCTTTGTTCTGTCCAGGAACATTTTTATTAAAGTTATTCATCCTCTTCTAGCAGTAATTATGCTTTGCCTCCCTAACTATTCCAAAATCTTCCAAGAGGGCAAACATGTCTTACACTTCCTACAAAGGATAAGCCAGGTGCTACATTAGGTCTTCAACCATTTCATATGCTTTCCCTTTACTTGCACCATTCTCTTATTCTCTTTCCTAGCTGGAAATCAGTTTTCACACAAATCCAGATAATTGAAGATCATCATCTTTTTAAAGCTCAAGCAACTTTGTAGATACATTTGAATCCTCCCCACTTGAATATATACTGAGATTTAGAAAATATCCGATCTTCAAACAGAAGTGGTGGCAAGCAAAAGTTAAGTTTCAAAAGATGAGTGAGATTCTGATGGCTGTGGATACAGTAAAAGGCATTTGGAGCAAGAGATCTGCTATTCCCTCAGTTCTGTCCCCTGGTGAAAGCCCCTTCTTATCCCTCTTCAAACTGCTACTAAGAACCTAGACAACCTACCTACAGTTTCTTCTTAATTTACCCTTGGATCAGAAAACAAATTACAGTACTGGCCAATTTTTAAGTAAATTAAGAGATCATGTTGTTTAGAATATCTGTCTGCCCTGAGTCACATGCCCGTAAGTGACTCACTGTTACTCTCTTTCTCCAGCTAGTTCTAAGCTAAGCTCAGCATCACCATGACATCACGTTACAGAACTACAGTCCCAGAAGCCCGCTAAGTTATAATACAGCTTTAGCTCCAGCAGCTAGAATAAACAAGTCCCAGTTATGTCACTCAGGCATCTGTAACTTAAAGGGATGCCTTTGTGAATCTTTGGAAAAATATAAAAATTGTTAAGCAACACCTACCTTGTGTGTTGTTAAAAGCAGATTTATGAAGGCAAGCTAATAAAATACGGGCATACTTTGGGATATTGCAGGTTCAGTTCCAGAGCACCACAATAAAGCGAGTATTGCATAAAGCAAGCCATCATCTTTC